ATCAAAATTGTAAGTAAATTTAAATAGAGGATTTACTGAGATTTTTAAGCAGTATATGTTTTGAAGTATATGTAATCCAAAATATAATGACTTATTTGAAAAACGTACATCAGATTTTAACATTACCATTTTAGCAAGACAATTACATTTTTGAAAAGATGATTTCTGGGGGGCAAGGAGAAGATAAATAGTATCATTTTTTCCCCTTCAGCCACCTGTTGGTTATTATTAACATGATAAAATGTTGCTGACAGTGTGGCTTCTCAAATAATAACTGGGAATGCATAATGTTGAATTTTTATTTAGATCACCCACTCCACTGCCATCTACACATTGTCTTTTCCTTTTGGGAAGTCATTAGCTTTGTAATTTCCCCCACATCTTTCAGGATATTGTTTATTTTTTAGTTCATTTACAGGTGGAAGCATATTGCTTGAAATAATGTTATACTGCATCAATCTGCCTTTCAGTGGATCTCCAGGACCATTCATACATTAAATTATGGATTTACATGTTCAGGTTATAGAAAGGCAAAGAGACAAAGAAATGTGAACTTCTTCTTTAAGAAATGATTTACATGAAGTCCTTCTGTTTAGTGTTTTTCTTCCATAAAAATATAATTTCATTTAGAAAGGAAAAAAAAAACTCTTTGGGAAGCCACAGCATAATTATTACTAGAGGTAATCCTTACCTTCTTATAAGTGACTATTTTATGTAATTAACATTAATTAATGAGGAATTCCCTAATGAAAGTTTGAACTTTGCCTCTGTTTGGAAGGTATTTGAAAATTATATGGAATAGTATTGAAAAATACATTTTGCATTACATTGTAGTCAAATGATTTTAAAAATAAATGTACTATTTATACATTTTAAATGCAATATAAATATGTAAATATATTTTATTTGTGGTAAAGCTTTAGGCATAAGAAGCATGGACAGGAAGTGTTAGGTGAGAGCAGATGAACATACAATGGCTCATTTTCTCAACTTTCTCAGTGTAAATCACAGAGAAATAATGAAACCAAAGAAAAACTTACAATGAATGTTAACACAGAAGAAACCGCAAATAGTTTTGACTTCCCATAGTAGCAACCGTCCATTGAATAAAGTTTTGTTACTTTGTTGTACTTCAAAGTGCACACAATGTGATTTTATGGACATAAAGAGCTGTAACTATTTTGAAAATTATTAATATATTTGGTTATTAGTATATGAATTCTAGTAGAAAATTTAATCCATATGTTTTAGGAAAAGAACCAAAGTTTACCTTAAAGACAGAGGTAAGTCACTGCACTTAGAAATAAGTGCCACAGATGGAACCAGCATATTACACTCAGGTTATAATTATGTGATTTTAATAATGGAAGTAAAAAACTCTCAATAATGGGATATGTTTAGCAGAGACACGGATTGCATGCTGTTTTGTATTTTTTTTGGCTCTGCTGGGTGGTGATAAAATCAAGCACATGAGGTCCCTCGCTGTGAGAATTGTGGGAGTACCACTACCTGGGTAAAGGATTGTCTGACCTCACTCTGGCATATATCTTAGGAGAATTACAAAATTGGATCATTATGAGGAAACTGAATTACTAACCCAAATGTCTCCTGTATTGGATATTTCAAACATTTATGTTTTATAAATTCAATTAAAGTATACCTTTTACATGCAATAACTGGCTTTAGGATTTGGAATCTAATTAAGTAGTAATACATGATAGAATACCATTATTAACTTTGTTATTGATTTCACTGAAGCTCATGTAGTAATTAAGCGGGACAGGAAGATAAAATACGAGAAACATCCAAGTATTGTTATGTTGGAAGCAATATAATCAAATCTAGAAAAAGGAGGAATGATGGCTATGCTAATTTTCAGCATATTATGTAATAAAATAAGGATTATACCCTTAAATTGAAATTTAAATAGTTATAAAGCAGATTTGTTTTTCAGTAAAAGAACCTGGAGCTCATTTTGAACTGAGTTTTAAGAAATGGTTACCATTTGTGTTGCAAAAACCACAGTCAAGTTCAGTTGACATTTATTCCCTGAGTGATTGTTAATACACTTTAAATATGTTGAAAGCAACAGTAAAGGCTTACTGTTTAAAATTTAACCATAATAACAGATAAAGGGCATGCAGAATATTGGGAAAATGTAAAATATAGGTTGAAGTGTCTCAGAGGCTCTGAAGTTAAAAGTTGGCTTTTTCAAAATGCCTGATTTGGGGATATTGAATAATAAATAAACTTTTCTTAATTGCTTCTTTTCTTTTTATTTCTCTTTTTCATCAGAGCTGAGATTGTTGAGTATACAGATTATTAAGAGATAGTGGCTGACAGTGAGAGAGATTTCCTGATACTTAGTGGGGTGCAGAGGAGTGAAGCAAGTAAAACATTTGTCTTCTATACCTACTCCAAATATATGCCCTGTGGCTTTTAAAACACTAAAATTCAAATAGTGAGCATCTTTACAGAATGCTGTGGGTGTATTTTTAAGTTTCTGATGCATGCTGTTGTATTTCCTGAGGAGCAGGCCCACCCTCAGCACTGAGAGTTCCCCCGCTGTGCGATACCTTCCTAGTGGGCAGAAGAGTTTTACTGTTTTACTTCTCAGCAATATGTACAATAAATAAAATTAAAGAATTCTTAATAACTCAGATAAACTTAACACAGTACACTATTGTTCTTTCTGCTCAGGAATACTTTCCCAGTGGATATCCGGGTCTTAGAAATGTGCATTTTCAATGTCTCTCACTATGAGGCAGTATTTGTAACGGTGGTAATCATCTATATTTTATCACAACTGAGGATAGGCTTTTCTCAGAAATTATTTATAGTTAAGTTTCTCTCTCTTTTTTTATTACAGGCACTGTGTTTAGTTTGTATGAGCTTGTGAATGTAGTATGTGTATCTATAGGTCTGCGCTGAAGTGTGCGGCATATAGCAGCATTTACAGTGGACACTTACTCATACCATTTAAATCATGACATTTAATCCAGAGAGAAGCAGTTGACTTCCTAAGAGAAGCAATACGCAGCCTCTGACAATTCTGGGACCACTGAGTAATCACAGCAGCAGAAATGCCTCCTAGTTAAGCCAGGATTGTGGTCCAGATGCCACATTCCTCTTTCCTTTTTTTTTTTTTTTTTTTTTGCCGTTTTGGGCCAGGGCTGGATTTGAACCCACCA